GTACATCAAGGCAAGTAGCTAACTCCTTCACAAACCCCCTCAAGCTAGGTGCTATGAAGATATTCTTCATGCCTAGCTTGGATAATAGTTAATGACGTTGTGTGATGCCTAGCCCCTTGGTGAGAATATCAATTGGTTGGTCTGATGAAAAAATATGGAAAAGCTGAACTAGGCCAATTTGCACCTTTTTTCGAATGAAATGACAGTCGATATCAATATGTTTGGTGCGTTCATAAAATACTGGATTGGCAGCTATTTGGATGGCAAATTTACTGTCACAAAATATGGATAAAGGTTTGTGGATGTGCACTCCTAATTCCTTAAATAAGCCAGCCACCCAAATAACTTCAGCTACTATTCAAGCCAAGTAGTGATATTTAGCTTCTGCTGAACTTCTTGATATGGTTGTCTGTTTCTTGGACTTCCATGGAATGATGAAATTGCCAAATTTGATTAAGTACCCAGTGATGGACCACCTGGTGTTTGGACATGAACCCCAATCAGCATCACAAAAGGCTGTGAGCTGAGTAGAAGCCTCTGCAGACAACAAAACTCTAAGGCCAGATAACTGTTTCACATTCTTAACCATCCTGATGGCTGCCTCCATGTGGGAGATTTTGGGGCAATGCATGAACTGGCTGAGATATTGCACTGCAAAAGCAACGTCTGGCCTAGTCATAATCAAATAAAGAAGTCTTCCAATCAACCTTTGGTCCTCATTAGGATCATCAAGAACTCTATCATCACCAACTCCAAACTGAGTATCAAACTCAAGTGTTGTAAGCTTCTGATTGACCTCTAAAGGTACCTTAGTTGATTTGGATCCGGACAACCCCATATCTAAAATGAGCATTAAAGCATACTTCCTTTAGTGCATTAGAATTCCCTCCTCACTCCTTGCAAATTCAATGTCTAAGAAAAATTTCAGTTCACCTAAATCCTTAATTTTGAAAACATGTTGTAAGTATGCTTTAGTTTGTTAGATCAAGTCAGCATCATCTCCTGTGATGAGCAAGTCATCGACGTAAATCAAGACTATAACTATTTTCCCTTGAACCTTTCTGGTGAATAAGGAGTAACCCAAGTGGCTTTGAACAAAACCAGAAGCTGTCAAAGAAGATGTGAGCTTGATATTCCACTGCCTAGAGGCTTGTTTAATCCCATACAGTGATTTAAGTAGTCGACAAACTTGTTGATCTCCTGCACAAGAGAAGCCCTGTGGAAATTGCATATATACTTCTTCGGTTAAATTACCCTGCAAAAAAAGAGTTATAAACATCCATTTGGTGAATGTTCCATCTATGCATGGCTGCCAAGGAGAGGACAGTTGTCACTGTCACCATTTTAACAACTGTGGAGAATGTTTATTGATAGTCTAACCCCTCTCTCTGATTATATCTTTTTGCGACCAATCTTGCCTTAAACCTCTCAACTTCTCCTGTAGACTTGTACTTGATCTTATAAACCCATCGACAACCAATAGCTTTCTTCCCCTTTGGTAAAGGAACCACAACCCATGTCTTGTTGTCTTGCAATACTCGGATCTCTATTTGCATTGCCTCTATCCATCTGGGATCCTTAGATGCCTTTGTATAAGATTTAGGCTTAGTGGCTGTAGAAAATTTGGTGATGAAACTTTGATACTTAGGATCTAAGTATTCATAGTTTATGACATATAAAATAGGATATATGCATGTGCGTGCTCCTGATTTCTTGTCTTCCCTCACATAATTCTTAAGCCATATTGGGGGCTTAGTTGTTCTGGATGACTTTCATTCAGTCAAACCTACTGCCTGTGATTCTTCAATTTCTTCCATGTGATCAATATGATCTGCTATATTTCCATGAGGCTCAGAAATCTCACCATTCTCCTTATCAAGCTGTTATGAAGTGTTGTGATCTTCTTGTGGAATTTGATTATGTGGTGGCATAATGGCTTCAGTGTTTTGAGCAGGTAAAACACTTATGCATGCAATATCTAGATCATCCACTACACAAAATCTCTACAATTTTGTTACATTAGTGACCAGATTACTTTGAGCTGTTTGACAATTCAGAAAAGGAAATATACTTTCATGGAACACAACATCTCTACTAATAAAGCACACTTTATTAGATAAATTATAAAGCTTGTATCATTTCTGATAAACACCATATCCCAGTAAAATTGATTTTATTGCTCTTGCACCAAATTTATCCTACTTTGGTAGTGTAGTTGCATAACAAAGACATCCTATCACTCTCATATGAGACAAAGATGGTGGTCTATTGTATAACATTTCAAAAGGTGATTTTTCCTTTAGGACAGTAGATGGAACTCTGTTTATTATGTATGTTGTTGCTTCCACACAAGATACCCAAAAATGAATTAGCAAATTGGCTTGAAATTTGTTTGCTCTTGCTGTTTCTAGAATATGTATATGCTTCCTCTCAACCACTATATTTTGTTTAGGATTGTATGGGCAGGAGCTTTGATGCAAGATCTCATGGTGTGTGAATAACTCATTGCAAGTCATGTTAAAAAAACTCAGATCCATTATTTGATCTGAAACTTTTAATCATTTTTCCAAATTGATTAAGTATTATTGCAACGAAGATTTTAAGAATTTCAAAAACATCTGACTTCACCCTCATTAGAAACAGCCATGTCCATCTAGTATGATCATAAACTAGAGTCAAAAAATAGTTCATTCCATTGTAAGTTGTGGCCTTATAGGACTCCATACATCCATGTGTATCAAATGAAAATGTGTTTCTGCTCTACTAGTGCTAACTGGAAAAGGCAGCCTTGTTTGTCTAGATAAAGGACATACATCACAATACTATAAATGAAATGCTTCTTTATTTCTAACTACAGAAATTCTTCTAATAATTGCCATATGCACATGACCTAATCTTCTATGTCAAACTTCAGGTTCCATCATCTGTTCTACTGCATAGATTTTATTCCATTTAATCCAGCCTCTTTACAATGTGTCCTCGGCACATATAAACCCTCTTCTTCACTACCAGTCGCCTTCATTATCCCAGTGTAGAGGTCCTGAAATACAAAATGTCCAGGAAAGAACATTGCACAGCAATTTAGTTCCTTGGTCAGTTTGGACACTAACAAGAGGTTGAACTTAAAGCTTGGCACACAAAGTACATCCTTAAGAACATCACCTCCTGTTAAAGAACTGTTTCCTATTTCTGTGACCTTAGCAGAGTCTCCTGTGGGCATCTGTATATTCCCTGCGCTACCTACTTTACTATCATTCAACAATAAGCATTCATTTCCTGTCACGAGTGCACTTGTCTCTGATGTAGAAGCTTTACTGAGCATATTAAGCAGCATGTTGTATTGCTCATGTGTGATCATTGGAGTAGCACTGTTGGCATGATTGTTTGCATTTGTTTCAGATTGCAGGGGACTACCATCAACAACATTAGCTCTAGCTTATGCTTGAAACCTAGAGGGTATCTAATTAACTTGTAGCAGTTCTCCTTGTGGTGTCTTTTCTTGTTGCGGTAACCACAATGCATCAGTTTAAAACAACCATCTCTTGTATGCCCTTTTACATGACAGTACTCACATTTAATATTCCAGTTTATTTTCTGCCTTGGTACATTGTTTCTAGTTGTGAACATAGCAGCTGACTCCATAGCTTCTGCAGTTACATGATTACTTCCTGCCACCAGTTTCTGACTCTCATCCTGAACAATTAGAGCGTGTGCTTGATTCACATTGATCATCTTCGACTTCATGAGGATTTGGCTCCTTGTCTGGCTATATCCTTCATTTAATCCCATTAGAAATTGTAGTAAACGTTGATATTGTAGATGCCCTGCAAAATTCTTCGACTTTTCACAATCACATGAAGGAGGTAGCATCATTGAATCATACTCGTCCCATAAATCTTTCAACCTTGAATAATACACAGATACTAATGATGTTCCCTGAGTCAAAGCAAAGATCTCTTTATGAAGAGAATACAGACATGATCCATTCACCTTATTAAGTCATTCCTACAATTCCTTCCAGACCAAATATGCATTCGAATGAAAAAGAATTCCACTCAACAATTCTTTGCTCACATTACCAGTAAGCCATGAAACAACTATTGCATTACATCTATCCAATTGGTGCCCTAAGGTTGGCCCAAATGTGTCCCTAGTGATCGTTCCATCTATAAAACCTAGCTTATTCCTTCCTAGGAGTGTAACTCTCATCGCTCTATCCAACAAAGTGTAATTCTCCACACCTACGAGCTGAATGCCAAACAGATAATGAACCAGGAGCATCAGAAGGATGAAGATACAGGGGATGGTTGTGGTCAATGAGCACTGAAGCTGGAACAAATGTCCCCAAATCAGATATCTCATCAATCGCCATTAAAATTTTCAGTTATACAGAACACAGAACTGTAAATTTGAAGGAAATAATAAAAGATTATGAACAAAATCGAAAATAACAAACAAATCTAGGGTTCGTCGCAGATACGAATTAGGATTCGAAGTTTTCACGAGAAATGTCGATGAATCTCTCGATCGTCTTCAATCTGCGAAGAACAATCCCTAGATCATATCTACGGGCAGCTCTGATACCATGATAAAACTCATCGAATCACCAAATCTAGAAATAAAGAAGAAAGGAAGAACAAAGGACGAAAATTGAGAGTACATGCAGAGCTCAAATGTAATTTTCTATATGAATTGAATATATACAAAACTTGTAAGCTAGCCACTATATATACATGTATATAGCTACTCTAACCAACTAACAGTTGTAATTAGTTGTACACTCAAACTTTCACTAACTACATAATTAATCACTTTAACTAACTTCGTATTCAGCTAACTCAGCAACTAACTATAGTACATCAACGCAAGTAGCTAACTCCTTCACATAAATTAGCACTCTCTATATTAGTTTTTAATTTGTTTTCGGTATGAGGGGAGAGATTTTCTTCTTTCTCCTTCTTTTGTTTGCTTCTTTTTTATTTTTTTGTATCACAGAAAATTTCATTCAGAAAAAGAAAAAGGAAAAAGGATAATTGTGCTGTCAAAGAAGTTGAGAGTTTGGATAACGTAAAAAAAAGGCGCGGTTAAGGATGAGTCACACCGTCGCCGTCGATCGTTGGGTTCTCAGTTCCGGCGCTTCCTCCTTTACCTCCACTTCCAACTTCTACTTCCCCACCACATTCACTAGAAGCCCTCATTTTGGCGGCAACATAATTCGAGCTTCCGCCACCACCAGCGGTTCAAGTAAGCATTGAACCTTTAATTTATGAAACATTGCTGAAGGATTTTGCATTTAATTCGAGATGGCTATTTTTTCTTTTTCTTTTTTGGAATTGCAGATGAAAGTGTAATTTGCAAATCGTTATTATGTGGAAGGAGAGCTTTACTGTCTTTAGCTACCTTGTCTCTCGTTATGCCGTGTGATAGAGTTAACAATAGCTTTGCTGCTGAGTACGTCTCAAATGCATTCCTTTTTAAGAAATGTGTACTATTGAATTTTTAAAGTTTAGAACTGCTTTCTTGTTCATTCCTTTTTTTGTAGCTCAGTTTGGATTTCACTTTCTTTTAAAAGGAAACGATTAGAGAGATCCAAATTGTGGTGTTAACTATCAAGAAATCCGATACCGCAAAGTTAAGCAATTTGCAAATAAGCCTAGTGGTCAGTAGCGGAACCAGGAATATAAACAAGGGATTCAAAAATGTCACCGTTGGGATTTGAACCTGACCTAATTTTGAACCCCTTTGCCACTTTACTAGAACTTTCCCTTAAGTCAAGGGGATTCAACACCTTGTATATAATCAAGGAACTAGTTTTGCCCAACGTAGAGGTGCTGAAATCATGTTTATTCAAAAGAGGCAGTGTTTAGCCCGCATAATCTACATTTTTCGATTAGTTTATTTATGGATGAGTCCTATGTGCAAGTTCAATTTGAGAGTTCTCTAAAGTTGTGAATGCATGCTCCTTTCCCAATGATTCTATACCCCTTTTAGATTACAAATATATAGAAAAGATATGAGAGATTTAGATTTTGAAGAGGAAGGATACTATTCGCTTAATGTGAATCTAGTTTCTCCAACTTTCTCCAGAAGCATCAACCATTTCTGTTTGGAGAGAATCTTATTCCAAAACTGATGATTAATGATTTCCTCATGGAAGGTACTTCGTCAAATGTTCTTGAAGCATGTGGTTTGGTAGTAGAACGTTGAAATACGAAATATTCGTAGAGTCATCCCTATGTGAAGATTGGTAGTTACTGCTTGGACTTAACAAAACATGCATAGATCGAGTATGCTTGATCACCTTTTCTGCTTTTATATCAGCAGAGACAAGTTTGCAATTATAGGATGAATTAGAGAAAGTAATTCATAAGAGAGAGGTTCCTAGAAGTTCTGTTAATTTCAAACCTCTCCAAATTTTAATTTCATAACTAAGATCTCAGCAAAATTTGCTTGACAATGTAATTATTTGTTTCAGTTTATTTCTTTTAAGCAATGTTACCCCACGTTTGTATTCCTTAAAAGAGATGTAAATTTTTTTCGGCAGTGAGAGTTTTCGCTTAAGGGAAGAGATCAGGAAGGTATTATCCAAGGGCAAGGCTGCTGGTGTACTTCGCCTTGTATTCCATGATGCAGGAACTTTTCAAGTTGATGAGAAAATTGGTAATTCCTTGAAACACTTTCCTTTTTCTCTCCCTACCAAAAGAAAAAAAGAAAAGAAAAGAAATTGATACAGAAGAAACAAGAAGGATGTTTTTTCCAAACATTAGCAACTTCCAATTGCAAGCTTTGTAATCTATCGCCTCTTTTAGATTCTGCAGAGCTGGTCTAAAAGGGTTATAACATCACAAAATGCAGATTGAAATGCTTCTAACATCATTCACCTGCAAACCCTGGATATATCTTTTTTAGTCTTTATCCAAAAAATTGTGTAATATGCATATGTACTTGAAAGAAGATGTTGGTCTTCCATTCCTGGATGCATGATATCAACCTCAATTGCTCTTATATTAGGGGGTATGAATGGCTCTATAGTTTTTGAACTCGACAGACCCGAAAACAAAGGCCTTAAGAAATCTATAAAGGTAAGCAGTTTTATTGTTGCTTTTGTTTTCACCATCCTTGTGAATAGTATGTAGAAATTCTCATTTTAGATTTTAGTTATTTACCATTTCCAAAGACTGATGAACTCTCATATGGATTTCAACCAGCTAACATCTCGGTCCATGCATTGTTCTTCAGATTCTGGAGAAAGCAAAGAGTCAAATAGGTGTTGTGCAACCAGGTAAACTGTTCAGACAATAAACTTCTGTTAGTTCATTTTCTACCAGCGTGACTTTTTTATTGATGGCTTTGTTGTCAGTCTCGTGGGCTGATATAATAGCTTTGGCTGGAGCAGAAGCTGTTTCATTGTGTGGTGGACCTAGCATCCCGATTAAGCTGGGCAGAATTGATTCACTGTAATGGTCTACCTTTTAGTTTTTGATATTAGTTATGTTCTGCTAAATAAGAGGTAGATTCATTGATGAATGTGGAGCTATATTTCCTTGCTACGATCTTTTCATTTACATTTTTGTAGAAATAGGATGCAAAGATTTAGTAATCATGATCATCTGAATATCTTTAATTTAGCGATTGAGAAGCAACTTACAATCTTGATTGAAGCCTTTGCAACTAAATTATTTCCATTTCAAAGAGAAAAAAGATTGAGTAGCAGATGGTAGAGCAGTTATCAAGATGAAACCCTTTATACATGTAGCGACCATATTCAGGTGATTGACGTAATTTATCTACAGTATCTACATTCTGATAGCTGACTTTGATTTTGTAGGGTGCCTGATCCTGAAGGAAAACTTCCTGAAGAATCACTTGATGCTACTAGTTTGAAGCAATGTTTTGAAAGAAAAGGTTTCTCGTGAGTCTAATGGCCATACTCGAATCTGCTGTTTATTTTTATTTTATCTTGGTGCTCTCCTTGTGCTCCATACCATTATTCAATTAGCATTGACATATAGTTATGCCATTCATGTAATTTGACTGGGTTTATTTTTTGCAGTTGCTGTTAGCGAGCAAATAGATAATCCTGTTTGTATTTTTCATGTTTCTTCTGCCTCTGATTTAGTGGATAAAAATCACTGTAGGGGATTCCCCCCCCTTTCAATAGCTTCTCCAGATGAAGTAATGAGACTTGCAATTCATACAAACTTTTGCTTCTTTCTTGGCATTTCTATGGTTTTCTTCACTTGCAACATTCTGTGTTTAATTTTCACAGATGTTGAGTAATATACATAAAACTGTTGTACTCAGGTTAAGCGCATCTCCAAATGAACTGGCCTTATAGCATCAGTATGTGATCTATGTATCCATTCTATAATTAGTTTCTAATGCTAAACCCTTTTTAACAAATATTAAATGCAGTATAGACAAATGTGGTGATAAATAACATATGTTATCACTGTAGCTTATGTGGATAAATAAGAAAATTTGGTAATTCATATCGTGGAGTAATGTTAGTTCTGTCTTGTTTATGTGGAAGTGACCTCTCATTAGTTCTGCTATATTTCGTGAGGCATGTGAAGTACTTCTGTATTTCGTACGTCTCATATGCATCTTGTTTCTCTTTCTCCAGTGTTACAATCTCACACAGTGTCATCATATTCTCAGACTTTTCAAAAGCTGGTTTTTGTTATCTTCCTTGTGATCGTTTCTGATTTGGGATCTTGTTTATTATCGCTTTCTTATCCTTCTGAGTTTCTAATGCATGGCTATGAGACTCATAGTTTAGCTCCATGTCCCATTTACGTGATGCATAATAATAAGAACTTGAACAACAGCTACAATTTCAAGAACTTGGCTTTATTAGACAGTTAAATTAAGGTACACAATGTGGTGGCATTTGATGAACCAAGTACATACAGAAAGTCACATTTTCTTGTACTAATACAAATACGGTATATAAGTCATAAAATTTTTAACCTCCATGACATACACAATTTTTCTAAATCGTGCATAAGGAGCATATGACGCAGCCAGTCTCTAAGGTAGTCATTTTGAACATTAGATCTGTTGGTGTTATCCAAGGCCACGTTAAGAAACTCATCTGAGATGATACTTTTAGAGGAAGAAAGAGGCATTTATTTTAAATATATTCAAAGTATTCAATAGCACTTTTTTCTTTTGCATATATGCTTTTCTTTGTAAGGCAATTTGTATTCAATATGTCATTATGGTGTCAATCTTAGTATGATATTTTGTGACTGATTGCATGACTAATTGCCCGTATCCTTCCCCCCCTGCCTCTAGGTTAAGGAACTTCAGTTTAGCTGCACAAAATACAATAGTTCACTATGATATTTTGCCTCCTTTATTTAGCTGCATCAGTTCTGTACTTTGGGTTGAGAATGTCATCGACTGACAATTCAAAACCCAAAAGACATATCTCACATTGGTATGTGTAGAGAGCTCTATTCAAATATTTAGTTTTTGATAATCATGCTAGCCAATTGCTATAGGTCTGAGCAGTCCAGCCTCCTTGCTCGCCTATTCTTGGATTAAAAGCTAGATCTGTTGATTATCACCGTTAAGATATTCCGCCTGATGGATTGTGCATTTTGTTGGCAGAACTCAGGAACTTGTTGCCTTGTCTGGCGCGCATACTCTAGGAAGTAAAGGATTTGGGAATCCAGTTGTCTTTGATAATGCATACTTCAAGATACTCATGGAGAAGCCATGGTTATCCTCAGGTGATGAATGACATTTATATGCATACTTATATCTGAGTTATTGAAATAAATGTCAAACACACGTCAGAAACTATGCAGCAGTGATAGTCTTATCTTTCTGAAATGGAAATACCTGATACCTACATGGTTAGAGTTTAGATGATTGTTACACAGAAAATTGCTAAGCAAGACTAGGCTTCCGAATTAGCTAAACTGCAAACTGCTTATGCTTCACTATTTATGAGGAATGATGACACTCTTTCTGATAATAGAAGACCTCCTATTTCTTAGAATTCCTTTCATACGAAAATGGTCATAGAACATAATTTCCTTTTTTAGTATCTTCAACCGTGTAGTATTTTAAATCTCTTTTATCTATACAGCTGGCATGACTAGTATGGTTGGCCTTCCTTCTGATAGGGCACTTGTTGAAGATGATGAATGTGTAAGGTAATGTTTTCTCTGACCTTATGTTATGGTGGTTCCTTTATTGTGGTTACTTTATCCTGACAAAAGCTAATGATGTCAGGCGTACGCCTCTGCTAGCGAAATGCAGAATTTTCAATTCACTAATCTAGTTTCAGTTCCCAAGTTATAGACTTGCTATTTGGTAATGATATGTCTTTCATGCTTCTTGAAACAGATGGATCTCAAAGTATGCTGAGGATCAGAGTTTATTTTTTGAAGATTTCAAGAATGCCTATACCAAACTTGTTGACACTGGTGCAACTTGGAAGAAATCATTGTAGTCCTCAAGATTAATCAGCAATACCTCGTCATAGCCAGTGAGTTGTTTTGGTATAAACAAGATTCCATGACACAACAACAAATGCAGTCAATGCCAATTTTTGGTTACATGGGCAATCTTGCGATAGGCAAATCCTGAACGGAGAAGTTGCAGCTGAAGGTTAGAAAATGAAAGAATTACGACTTGGAAGAAAAAGATGCAAAGTCAAAACTTTAAAGGAGAGGCTTGCCTCTCTCTACCAATCAATGTTTAAACTTGGCCCCCATTGATCAACAACAGCGTCTGCAAGCCACTACTTGTCCTACTCCTACAGGATCATAAGAAATGTTATCTTGTTCCACTTGATCTAAAGAAATGTATGAGAACCAAAGGAGGGAAAATGCATGTAGTAGTATAATACAGCTTCATTTTGGTGTTCATATCACTATGTCAAATTGTTTTCTGTAAACATTGAGTGATATAATTATGTCCAGAGGGTAATTTTACTAATTAAAGGTTTTGAAGCCCCACTTAAATCTCATTCTTTAGCATTTGTTCTTAGTCTTGGCTTTACTCCGGAAAGGATGACTTATCAAAGAAAAGTGATCACCTTAATATGTAAATTTGGTTTTTTCCCCTTTTTCTTTTGGGACAAGCTTTTCATTTTCTTTTTAAAGGATGTGATTTTATGCGGGTTTTTTTTTGGGTTTGGGGTTTTTTTTTGGGAGGGTGGGGGTGGGGTGGTGAGTAGGCTTATATCCTGAAGGAGCTGTATATAGGACTAAGACGAGTTTATAAAAAGTGACATGGACAACGAGAATTTATATAGTGACTTCAACCTACATGAAGTTATTGTGTCATGCACATTTGGTGTTGACACTGGGCTATAAGATGATGAAGACATGAGAGAGGATGCAACCAATGCAATCAAACAGATAACTTCAATTCCCACCTGCTGTCCAATCTTATCTTGCATGCAATTAATATCTTTTTTTTTCCATTCTAATAGTTTTCACTAGTTTTGTTCCCTTCTTCAGATAATAGTTATGAACCTGAATGCCCCATCAAGAAACTAGAAAACGAAAAGCCACTTGTTCTATTTCATTGTGTCTTTATCTATAAAGTTTCTTGACAAGTCCTGTTTACTTTTTATTTTGTCAATCCAAGGGGTATTCCTCCAAGAGGTCTCCCTTCTCTTTGAAAAAGCAATTTCACTGTGGTTTTGTAATGAGATTGATAATTCGAATGGTCAGTTACGTGAAACCTTAAATAGATAGAGACCGAACTCCTTTTTTGTGATTTAGGAGTTTTAGGATTGTTTTTAACTTCCAAAGTGTATAAAGAATAGTATTGAATAGGATACATTAGTAATGTTGGGTTTAGTAATATTAGGATTAGTTATGCTGAGATTATTTTTTATTACTGTTTTATTTGGGAGTACTAAAAAATAATAAGCAACGCTTAAATTTTTTATTATTTTTATTCATTTACAAAAATACCCTCCACATTCTTTAGCTATGTATAAGAATAGTAGTGATATAACAATTTTGTCTTTATATATACTCGTTCAGGTATTAAAAATTATGATACTGCTAATACCATGGTTTGCTATTAAAAACTCTAGTATTACTAATGCCATATTGGTGCTTTAGAAAAAATCCGCATAAATGCTTTTCTCATTTTCATGAAGGAAAACAAAAAGAATAATTTATCAAGACAGATAACCAATTTATTAGTCATATAGTGTTAACACGTGTTCTTGACATTCAAACAACCATAACGATTAACATGCAACAGCCTAAGCTCCATGAACAATCCCTTAATCTGCTATTTTCCTTAATTTTTGCTTTAACCAGATCTCAAATCCAAACCTTTTTTCTTCATTATGTTCTTCTTATTTTCTCAAGAAATGAAAAAAAGTCCAATCAATTATCTAAAATGGTCTCTTTGATCTCTACTTCTAATCAAGCCATTTCAACATTATTATAACTGATCTTTTTTGCATGGGAAATGCCATGGCTTCTTCAAAACCATCATATATCATTGTAGCATCTTCAATTGGATTAATTCTTGCTGCTGCTGTGCATTATCGCCTCAAGAAAATTCGTGACCAAAAAATTGTTCCTCGTACTAAAGTTACCAATACTGGTCAGATCCTTAGGTTTGAGAGCTTTTCTCATTATGTAGGTAATTTTCCATGAATCCCTTCTACGATTTTTTTTTGTATAATAGTGTTGTTCGAGTCAGTTTGCGCATACCTCGATTATTTAATCGTGTACCTGTGTACCTCCGGCCAGCAAAGATATTGAATAATTCGGTTCGAGAACGCTTAGGCAGATGAAAAGAAATCACATAGTAGTATTTTTGTTTTTGTTGGGATTTGAACACAGACTGTCATGATTTTCATCCACTTCATTAAGCTAGGCCATCGTCTTTAGAATTTTCTATTGTTACCTTTTTTATGATTAGTGATGTTAGTCATGTATGAATATGCAGCTAGACAAATGGGATTTGCTGATAAGAGGGAATGTCCACATTTATGCAAATTAGCTGCTGAATATATAAGAAAATCAGAAGGGTGTGAAGAAGATATATACAACTTCTTTTCTAATGAACCAGATGCTGATTCACTCTTTATAAAGCTAGTTGAAGAATTTGAGAGATGCATCCTTAGTTACTTTGCATTTCATTGGTGCCATGCTTCTCATATGATCAGCCAGGTAAATTCATTTAAAGGATAGCTTTTTTTATCTCTCTGTGTTTCTAATTCAAGTAATTAAGATGCTAATTAATTTCCTCTTGTTACGTGATCTTTCAGATTTTGGGTGCTGATCATGCAGAGCCCAAAAAGAAGCTGAAAAACATTGTCATGGCTGCCACTAGGTACAACAACCCAATAATTAGGACATATTTTCAGTACTACCTTCAAATTAGATTTAACTCATATACACTAACACTAACAGTATGCTGAAGGGCTAACAGTATGCTGAAGGAGGGCCTTGGAGCAACGGTAAAGTTGTGTCTGTGTAATCTATAGGTCATGGCTCGAGTCGTGGAAGCAACCACTAATGCTTGCATTAGGTTAGGTTGTCTACATCATTTCCCTTCGCGTGCGGCCCTTCCTCGGACCCTACGTGAACGTGGGATGCCTTGTGCATCGGGCAACCATTTTACACTAACAATATACTTAGAGCATGTTTGGAAAGCCACCTTGGAAATGGATTTGGATGTAATTACACAGTTTGGCATGTTTGTTTGGCCAAGTAATTACTTGGTCAGCATGGAATTGGGTGTAATTGGATGTGTGTAATTACACTCTCCAATTCTCAGGGGAGGGGGGAGTAAGAATTGGTGATAATTACACTGTGTAATTACAAGATTGCTTTTTAGTTTCTTTACTTTTTATTTTTATTTTTATTTATTTTCTTTATAAATTTTTATTTCTATTATTTTAATTTTTTTAATTTTATTTTTACTTTTAATTTTTTTTGAAATTTTAAAATATATTTTTCTTTGTATATTATTTATTTTTTATTTCTCTATCTTTACTTCTTGTGATTCCATGTAATTGCTTACATTTTATTTTTTTATTTTTTTATTATTCTATTTTTGAAATTACACCTCCTAATATTAGGGACTCCTGCAGGTAGGGGTGTTCAAACCGAACCGGAAAATCGCACCAAACCGAAAAACCAAACCAAACCGATTAAAAACCCCGACTAGGTTTGGTTTGACTTGGTTTGGTATTGAGTAAAAAAACCAAACCGACATATAAATATATTTTTATTTATATTTTTAAGACTTTATATAAATTTCTTTAGAAAATGTAGAAATATTTGGGATCCTCTCATGTATTAACCTTGAAAGCGTAAATTAACGAAAAATTATTGTTAGACGACTAAGAAAATAACTATCATGTGTTACTAAAAAAATTCTCTCATTAGAATATTTTAATAGATCATATGTTTGTCAATTTTTTTTTCCATATTTACTAAACATATATTCACTTATCAAAGCTTTATCTATAATTTTAACAAAGTAAGATTGAAATAATATTCATGTAACAAAAAAACCCAAAAATCCGAAAAACCCGACAAAACCGAACCAATCCAAACCGAATAGTTGGTTTGGTTTTGATAAAAACCGAACCAACCCAGTCCATGTACACCCCTACCTGCAGGTAATAAGAAGCTTGAAAAATGAAGCCCATTTTTTTGAAATCCCACTATAGTAATAATGAGTCACTAACAAACTTGGTATATAATGAGTGATGCAATTAAAGTGAAATTTCGTTGTTGAGTGTGGTTATAAGCTTATCATGTTTCCTAATCTTAAGTTATAGTGGAACTTACCATTATTATGTTGGAATTTGACATATGTTAAACTATTTTTTTTTTTAAATTGTGCTAATTCATGGTTCCAATGTACTTGTTTTAGTAGTATTGGCTCACATTGTATGTTGTTCATTTTTGAGTTAGAATTGATAAATTAGTTTTATTAAATATTTGAATAATGCTATGACATTATATTTATAAATATTAATTTATTTCATCAAACATGAATTCCACGTTGTTCTTATAAAATATATATAAATTATTTTTATAATATTAGTTATAAATAAATGATTACTAATTAATGTATATATGCACGAAAAATATACATCTTAAATATCAAATATAATATCATTTATACTTATAAAAGTTTATAGGCATATATTTATTATATTAACTTTTAATTTTTGATAATTACTTATTTTTAAATTTAATCTAACTGTGTAATTACACTTGTGCAACCAAACAGTAAACTTGTAATTACACTATAACAAATAAACAGGTTATCGTAATTACACAACTACCCTAATAATTACATCAATTCCAATTACCTGGTGGCTTTCCAAACATACCCTTAACAAAATTTTACACTATCAATCAATTTAACCTATTATAGAAGATTACTTACCTTATTTTTTTAGGTAACTAATTCCACTTATTATGGACAGTTATATCTAGTTATAATATTTTACAAATGACATGATAGTCAAAGTTTCTACCTATACTCTGTGGAATTTGGCATATTACTAACACTGTCTTCTTCATTAAAAAGGGAACAAAGATTTGAAAGGGTGACAAAGAATCTGAAGGTAGCAAGAGTATTTACAACCTTAGTTGAAGAGATGAAAGCAATAGGGCTTGTTTCAACAGATGATTCACAGTGCACAGATGTTATGGTTCCAATGGCTCATAAAGATAGAAGCCCTGTCCTCCTCTTTATGGGTGGTGGTATGGGAGCTGGCAAAAGCACTGTGCTTAAGGACATTCTCAAGGAGTAAGAATATATGGCTACTTAATTAATTTTGTAAATAACTAAACAAAGTATAATGTGGATTTATTATGAATTCTTTATGTAAGATACTAATATGGAGTTGTCTGCATAAATTTTTGTTTAGACCATTTTGGGCAGGAGCAGCAGCTAATGCTGTAGTAATAGAGGCAGATGCTTTCAAAGAATCAGATGTCATTTACAAAGCCCTTAGCTCTAGGG